TTTCATATATACAAAAAATAATGTGCAATAAACATTTTATTCTAATTCATCAAAAATAATTTAATAAATAAATCAAATATGATCATTAATATGAAATTGATAAATAAATGACAAAATACAAATAAATGAATGCTTATGAAACCAATTTATTAACAACTGCATAAATAAATACCAACACAAATGCATAAATAAATTACTACTAATACACATAACTATTCTTTTCTATTTTGCAAATATATTAATTGCAACTGAAAATAATTAATTGAAATCACATTTGTACAATTCTTTACTTTCGCTTTCTCACATTGTTATATGTTGGTTTATCTCCTACTGAAAATTATCATTCAAATGTGTGTCCCTTCTCTTTTGTTATATGGCTTCACAACAGCCCGTTGAGTTCCTCTCAGACGTATACCTTATGCCCCTCATTCCCTCCCCTTCCAACTCTGAGGAAGACTTGAATACCCTCCTCTTCACGCAAAATAAAGAGCTCGATCCCGATTACTACCCTGATAATGACAAGGAACTGTCCTTTGGGGAATTGAACGAGCCACCCTTTGAGGTCCATGTTGAAGAGATTCCTCAAGGGAGAGTGAATGGCCACGTGCCCTTGATGACAGAAGACGAGAGGCCCCCAGACACCCCTATGAGGTTCTCTCCAAGCCTATCAAGGTCTTCTCCGTATGCACAGTTCCTCCCCCATACCTCGATTCCTCCCCCGCCTCCCCCACCTCCCCCGAGGATGGCACTGTCATCCCCTGTCTCATTTTACCCTGTGCTTTCCTCACAAAGGCTTTTCACAATTGATGAGGAGCGCACTTACATTTGATTTTACTCTTGGAATGCTCTGGCAGTTGTGATTTCAAAGGCATAACTCATGAAGGTTTCTTTTGGATAATGTTGTAGATAAGTGAGATGCCCTTCACACTGCATGACTTATTTATACTTTAGTTTTATGTTTTTCTCAGTTTTTTCTTTTTTCTTTTTCTTTTTTGATAGCAGAATTGATAATGAACAAATAATTTATTAGAATGCCTGTTTAGCTTCATTTTGTCCAAAGATGCATGTTGGACCAATTGGGTATTTTGCATCTCACAGCATGGCACTCAAAAATCTTTTCTCATAGTTATAAGGTAAACCAGAATTGAATTTAAATCTTGTCAGCTTGAGCTAACCAGCTCCTTTCACTTAAAAATGGGAATGTCAGTTTACAGTACGTATATAACAAACACTTATCTCTTGAATTAAAGAGTGGACCTAAATTAGAGTATGAATTGTTAAAAAGAAAAACAGAAAAAGAAAAAGATGTTTTATGACTGAAATTACTCTTATATATTTGTAATGTGTCCTATGTTCTTTTCTTTTCCATGTACCGTGCTCTTGGAATGTGGCTCATGTTGCATCGTCCTATACATCCACCTGTCTCCTCCTCCTTATCCACTGTGGCAACGTCATTTGTAAATACGTTGATATTGATCGTCTGTGCAAATGACTGAATGGTCTCTCTCAATCCCTCTTTCTGTGACTGAAATTGTTTCTGATGATGATTGTCATGCCATTAAAACAGCCGACTGAGGCTCTCTCTGATGACTTCCTCTTCCCTATGACCTCTCGTCTGTCCTATGCCTCCTCCCCTGAGTCGGACCTGGAGACCGGCCCTGAGTCCCGCACCCCATCCAAGTCCCCCCATCGCCTCCCCCCCTCCCACCACCCATACTCAGATTCGCGTGAGCCCAGAGGACGCATGGTCAAGAGCTCCTCCGACCCAAGCCTGGCAGCTCCAGAAGAGGCACCTCCCAACCCCTATGGAGGCCCACCACCTTATGTCGCCAGTCCCACAAGACATGTAAGTCAGCTCTCTAGAGGCTCATGTTTTACACTATAATTCCTTCAGGCACGAAAGCCTCACTCACTCGTTTTCAGTGGATACAGCTTCAGCTTCTTATGATTTAAATTCTGTATTTGTTTTTCCTTTTTTTTTTTCTAAGTTTGTCAGGAATATATAAAGAACAGTTACCCCTGCCAGAGAAACTGCTGAGATGTATGTGATGATTCTGACAGAAGACTCTAGTATCCATGTTTAAATGTGATTCAAAAAAGAATTGTTTTTGAAAATATATAGTATTTTGTGATTTTAAGATATTTATATTTTTTCTTATGCTGTAAGATATAACGTGATTGTTAGAGAATATAACTAATGACTAGTAATGGTATAAGACTCCTTTAAATCAGTATTTACTTGCTCTATCCTTTTTCATCAAGGATTAAGCAGTTTACATGTAATAATGAAAGGAATACAAACATTCTACATATGTAACACATTTTCCTAGAGTCTTCTGTGCTTGACAATTTAGAAAAGCATGAAGTATTTGTGTATGGTCTAGATTGATTGTGATTATTGTAGAGGAATGATAAGAAGATGCACACTGAGCACCCTTTCACTGTATCAGGTCCTGTGCCAGGTCTGCTAGTATGTCCAATCCGGTCTGATTACACCTCTAGAATCTTTTGTGCTGATTGTGCTTAGTAATTTTGTTTCTTATTTTTTGTCATAAGAAAGGAAAAACACATAGATTTTTGTTCTTAAGTTTTTTATATTAGTAAAGCATTTGTTATGCTAGGATACTTTCTAAAGCAAATGTTGGCCGCCCCCATGATAATGTTTCATGCTTTTTCTTGATGCGTGAGAATTGGTGAGTGTGTGGCATGATTATGCTTCTTGCACAAAGCTGTGTGGTCTGCATGTTGCACTGCCCCTATATTGCAGCATCCTGGACCCAGTGATGCCTACGATGATCGCAGAAAATCCCACGGCGGTGACAGCAAGTATGGCTTCGCTAGTGGAGGGTACCATGGGTCAGACCCCTATTCATCCCGCCCCCCAGTGAACGCCAACAGCACTGGTGGGGGGGGAGGGGGCATAGGCTCCATGCCAGGCTCACCTTATTCATCTGTGCCCCCACCTGGGTACAGTGGTAGACCCCCTCAGCAGAGTTTGCCCCCTCCGACTCATTCCCCCCACCAGCGCCGCTCCCCTAGTGCCCATCCGAGCCGAGGGCCCCCGCAGATGGGGTACTCCCCCTTAGGGCCTGGGGGGCAGATGGCTCCACCACCCCCATACCTCAATGGTCACTCAGGTGAGGGAGGCCCGGAGGTGCCCCCAAAGGTAGACCGAACCAGTAAGCCCGGCAGGGTGAGGTCGGGCCAGGATTTTGGGAGTGGGAAGGATCTGGATTATGATGCCAACTACATGAACACAGGAAGAGGCAACAGTCTAGAGCGACAGCACAAGGTTAGCACCCCAGCAGTAGCCCTGCACTGCATGCTTGACTCTGTTGGTTATTTAAGTTTAAGCTTCTGTATCTTTCCCCTGAACCTTTTCCTTCTTGTTGTAATTTTTTTCTTTTTTTTCCTCTCTCTCTTCTTGGGGAGATCATTCCCTGTGCATGTGATAAAATTTGTAAAAGGAATGGCAGTGCATAAGTTTCTATGGCAGTGAAATGCATTTCTGTTTAAGGTCACAGCAATATTTCCCCTTCAGAGTTTCACTGTCTTTGTTCTATGGAGATAGTGGATATGTATATATGAATACAGGTGTCAGTATGCAACACATTTATATTTTCTCTCTCTCTTTCTCCGCTTCTCTTCTCGTCTCCTTTTCTCTTCTTTTTTTCCTCTCCTGTTATCTCCTCTCTCCTCACTTCTCCTTTCCTCTTCTCTCCTCTCTCTCTCTCTTCTCCTCTCCCTCCCTTTCTCCTCTCTTCTCCTTTCTCCTCTCTCCTCTCTCTTCTCTCTTCTCTCATTTCTCATTTCTCTTCTCTCCTACCCTTCTTCTCTATCCTCCCTGTCTCCTCTCTCCTATTTCTTTTCTCCTCTCTTCTTATCTCTTTCCTCTCTCTCTCTCTCTCTCTCTCTCTCTCTCTCTCTCTCTCTCTCTCTCTCTCTCTCTCTCTCTCTCTCTCTCTCTCTCTCTCTCTCTCTCTCTCTCCTTTCTCTCTTGCTCTCTCTCCTTTCTCTCTCTCTCTCTCCTTTCTCTCTCTCTCTCTCTCCTTTCTCTCTCTCTCTCTCCTTTCCCTCTTGATCTCTCTCCTTTCTCTCTTGCTCTCTCTCTCTCCTTTCTCTCTTGCTCTCTCTCTCTCTCTCCTTCTCTCTCTCTCTCTCTCTCTCTCTCTCTCTCTCTCTCTCTCTCTCTCTCTCTCTCTCTCTCTCTCTCTCTCTCTCTCTCTCTCTCTCTCTCTCTCTCTCTCTCTTCTCTCTCTCTCTCTCTCTCTCTCTCTCTCTCTCTCTCTCTCTCTCTCTCTCTCTCTCTCTCTCTCTCTCTCTCTCTCTCTCTCTCTCTCTCTCTCTCTCTCTCTCTCTCTCTCTCTCTCTCTCCTTTCTCTCTCTCTCTCTCTCTTCTCTCTCTCTCTCTCTCTCTCTCTCTCTCTCTCTCTCTCTCTCTCTCTCTCTCTCTCTCTCTCTCTCTCTCTCTCTCTCTCTCTCTCTCTCTCTCTCTCTCTCTCTCTCTCTCTCTCTCTCTCTCTCTCTCCTCTCTCTCTCTCTCTCTCTCTCTCTCTCTCTCTCTCTCTCTCTCTCTCTCTCTCTCTCTCTCTCTCTCTCTCTCTCCTTCTCTCTCTCTCTCTCTCCTCTTCTCTCTCTCTCTCTCTCTCTCTCTCTCTCTCTCCTCTCTCTCTTGCTCTCTCTCTCTCTCTCCTTTCTCTCTTGCTCTCTCTCTCTCTCCTTTCTCTCTTGCTCTCTCTCTCTCTCCTTTCTCTCTCTCTCTCTCTCTCTCTCCTTTCTCTCTCTCTCTCTCTCTCTCTCTCTCTCTCTCTCTCTCTCTCTCTCTCTCTCTCTCTCTCTCTCTCTCTCTCTCTCTCTCTCTCTCTCTCTCTCTCTCTCTCTCTCTCTCTCTCTCTCTCTCTCTCTCTCTCTCTCTCTCTCTCTCTCTCTCTCTCTCTCTCTCTCTCTCTCTCTCTCTCTCTCTCTCTCTCTCTCTCTCTCTCTCTCTCTCTCTCTCTCTCTCTCTCTCTCTCCTTTCTCTTTGCTCTCTCTCCTTTCTCTCTTGCTCTCTCTCCTTTCTCTCTTGCTCTCTCTCTCTCTCTCTCTCTCTCTCTCTCTCTCTCTCTCTCTCTCTCTCTCTCTCTCTCTCTCTCTCTCTCTCTCTCTCTCTCTCTCTCTCTCTCTCTCTCTCCTTTCTCTCTCTCTCTCTCTCCTTTCTCTCTCTCTCTCTCTTCTCTCTCTCTCTCTCTCTCTCTCTCTCTCTCTCTCTCTCTCTCTCTCTCTCTCTCTCTCTCTCTCTCTCTCTCTCTCTCTCTCTCTCTCTCTCTCTCACACTCTTTCTCTCCAGTCTTTGTTTATTTATTTATTTTTTAGTTTTTAAATTTATCTTTGTCAACTAAAGTTTTTCTTCCCTTCATATTAATATCTATTCCATGCAAAAGCCTGCCTTAATAGTTTGGATGACCATTACAAAATGCAAAAATGTTTTCTTCCCCAATCAGATTTTAAAATTTTTATTTTTACTCTCCATTTTTTGTTTTGTTTTGTTTTTGTTTTTGTTTTTGTATTTGTTTTTATATAATAGAAGATAAAAATATTATTTCTGATAAAAGAATTATTTCAGATATAGGAATTATTTCAGAATTTTTAGGAGTCATTTATTTTTACATCAGCTGCAAAAGTGATTTTACTTTTTCACTATTTTTTTTTTCTTTTTTTTTTTTAGTGTTTTATATTTTATGAGATTCAATATATTGAATTGTGTTTTTTCTTCTTTTATATTTGGAATGCAATTCTTGAATGATGACTGTAGACGCAGCAGCAGTTTGATTGATTCAGAAGCCCATTTTACAGGTTATCAATTGCAATTTAATTTTTTTCCCCCTTCTTTCTTTTATTTTGTGGAGAAAGTTAGTCATATGGCACCATCGACAATACAGAGGGAAAAACCATGAAAGAGCCACTCTTTTCCACCAATCCAGACAACTTTTAGTTTTTTTGTTTTTATATGAAATCAAAGGTCTTGATACCTTGTTCTCAAACCCCTGTTAACATCTCTCTTGTGAACTTTCTTCAGAGCCCCTACGACATGATGAACCCGTCCTTGCTTCCCAATGCCCATGACGACCTCAAGAGCAAGCTGCAGCACCCGCGATCCCCGCATGAACCGTACAGATACTCCCGCTCCTCCTCACAGCCGCCCACCTACCGCACAGATGACCCTTACAGGTGATGAAATTGAATTGTCCCGTTAAAGAGTTTCATGAATATTGATTTCATCTGTTTCATATAAGGCCTTTGTATGATCCTGTTAATTGTTGCTTTTCCTTTCTGTAGATTTTTAATTTTGCTAACATACCTTGAACTTCATACAGATCGTCTGACTACAAGCCACTACCTCCACCAAAGAGCAGTAACTACAAACCTGTTCCTCCACCAAAGCCTAAGAACTACAAACCTCAGCCACCTGGGAGTATAGAAGGAGGAATGGGCTCATGGGATATGTATGCCGATGCACGGAAGGCATATGAGAGAGGGGCCTATCACACAACCAGCAATGGAGGACTCAGTGATGATTACAGTGGTCTGGACAGTGGCCAGGGCAGCAGCTTAGATAGAAAGTATGACACGTTTGGGAGATCTTCGCATAAGGTAAGTTTCATGTGACTGCTATATAATCATCATCATCATTTTCTTCTGCTTCTTCTCCCATTTTTTTAAAATTCATTCTACTGTTGTTTTATCTTATACTCATTTTCATTTACTTTGATTTCCTCTTCCTTTTCTTCTCCCTCCTTGCCTTCCTCCTCCTCCAATCTGTTTGTTAGGAATAACATTAAGAATGTTAAACCAAAGATATGCAAAACTTCTTTATAACTAATTATTGATATACAAAACTGTCATCTGATTGATTGTTAATACATGCTATGCTATTGCACCAGGTGGCATCATCTGGTAGCAGAAGTGGGTACTACCTGAATGTGCCCCCACCTCGAGATATGGCCCTTGCTGGCGGTGGACAAGGTGGGGGACCAGGGGGTAGAGACCTCCCCAATCATGACCACAGAGGAAGTGCTTTTGAATTGTACAAGAAGCCTCCTGACCCCAGAGGTCCTGGCGGGCATGCTGGTGTACCTGTGTACTCAGACCCAAGCAACAGGTAAGGATTCGGTTGGGATCTCTTGGTGGTAATATTCCAGCGTGAAATTTTCTCATGTCTTGCTAGTGAGTGGCAAGTTTGACTATATGTTAATATGTTGATAGGACTGTGAGTGACTTAATGATTTAAGCTACATATTTAATAGTTAATCTCAGTTTAATAACAGCCCAATATTATGATATCTGTGTGTATGTTTGAAGGGCCACAACTTAACAAGAAGTAAGATATCTATTATTTACGTGAGGGCATTTGAAAGCCTAAAGAAGATGCCATATTTTTATATTACTATTACTATTATATTACTATATTACTATTCCCCAAATTAGTATTTTTATATTCCTCAGTTCAGATTGAATTTACGTTTTCTTTTTTATCCTTTGTCATAAACTGAGTTCACATAATTTGCACACACAAAGGATATATCTTCTCCAGTACATAATGGACTTAGGCTTCATTTTTTCTAAGTGTATCTCAATTTTCTTATGATTTAGTTCAGAAAAAATGAGTATCAGATGTTCTTTGTTTTTGTGGAATCTATATTTATAGTTAATGAGAAAAGAGAATTTTGGAAAGACAGCTGATGGTTTTGAAAGGTACTTCAGAAAGAAATGATTCTTGTATTTCAAAAGGAAGTACTTGAAAGTGTGTAAGGACTGTGTCTTCTGCATTAACATAGTGTTGTGTTGGCTGTGATGTGGATATGTAAGTAATATAATGTATACATGCCATGTATGTCATGAATGTAATTTCTTTATGGTGGTGGGTGTTTATGGTATGGCAGTTTAAGCCGAAAGGATGATATTTTTTAAACAATTTGTTTTGCTGAAGAATACTATATTATCTTCTCTTGCAGTGTACCCAAGTAAATGAATAACATATTAATAGTCCTAAATTATTTTTAAACAGATAATGTACAAGATATCATCCTTGAAATTTAATGTTGCTTATGAATGATTGCTGGTACTAAATAACTTCAAATGAACATATAATAACAATATGTGAAAGGGAGAATTCAACATTGCTTACAGTAAAATAACAGTAACCCTGTGAAGATTGTGTTGTCTGACAGTGAATTGTGCCACAAAGTTTCCCTGATGAGACACTGATAATGTGTTAATTTAAATGACTGATGAATTAAAAAGATAAATTGTTCTCGTTGCTCTTAATCTCTTCTCTCTAGAAAGGGTTTGTGCTGTAGTTTGACAAAGTAAGAAAGATAGGTCTTTTCTTAGTTATTAAATGTTATTTTGTTTTGCAGTGTTCCAATATTGATTAAGACAGTGCATCAGTGACTGGATAGGCATTTTTTTTATGTTATGGTGATTTGAGATTTTCAGAGAAAAAGATGTCTATTATTTTCTATTCTTTTTTTTCTTTGTTTACATTGCTTGTAGGGCAGGAGAAGGAATTAGGAATGATTGCTAATTTTAAAATGACATTGCCAATTTGATTATTACTTACATACTAGATTAATACTTTTTTACTATAGTATCATTAAGCCTTATGTTAGGAAGCAACAATTTTGGTACTCAGAGAGAGAAGGGGTTAAAGAGTAGCACAACAATTCATGAATATCTCTGAACAAAGTAGATTAATAAGTCAAGGGATATTGACCTCTTCATAAGTGTTTTATGAAAATTTTCCATGAACAGCCATTGAGATTTCTGAAATTAGAGTTTGTGTGTAGTATGTCATCAGTACTTATTCATTTTTTATTAAGATTGTTAGATCTCCCTTCATGGTCTTCCTTACTAGATAACAGTTCAATGTTCATTACTTTCCAAGGCTGTTGGAACCAATTAAAGATAGTCTCTAATTTTTTTCTTTCTCTTTTTTCAAACCAAGATGTTAGTTACAAATCTCCCCATTTCATATCTTGCATCCTGATCCTCTTGTGTTAATTCAAGTGTGTCTTGCACTTCTCTGTTTAGTGCATGTGGCACAGATTTTATGTTCTCAGACATCATTTCACATCAGGATGGGGAATCATCACAATAACACACTCCATCACTATAATATCTGTTGTAAAATTTTCACGATAACAATTAATCCAAGGATTAAAAAGAAAAAGAAGGGTTAATAACAACTCCCTCAAGCGCTTTCTTGTGGCTATCTGTTGTTCTGTGATCATTGTCTGACCTGTCCAAGGCTTAGTGTCTCTAACCAAGGCTGTGCCCACCATCCAGCAGGCGGTCGGTAGCAGAGGAAGGCAAACATAAGGTGATAGCCACAGCGCGGGGGGTGTATGATCACAAGGGGGGAACTCTCACCTCTGAGGAAACAGGGGTGTCCATAATCATTCCCCCAGGGGCCATTGCCAAGGGCACCAAACAGGAGATTTACTTCAAGGTGTGCCAGGACAGCTCGCTGGTCCCTCCGCTCGACCAAAACAAAGGTCAGTTAGGGACGGTACCACCACAGAGGCTTTTCCAAAAGGGACAAGTGAATTGAGGTCAAAGTTGAGAAGCTTTCAAAGTTTCATTGTACCAAATTGTATAGATGTGTGCATACAGGCTCAGACATGTCCAAGAAATATCTACATTCATTAATTAACAGAACATATATGAAACAATACAGCAAAAGATAAACATAAGCACTTCTATGCACATATTGAGTGAATACCAAAATGCACAACAATGCACCTTCTCAAGGCATGTAAAGGATTCATGCAGACTGAGTTGAAAATAAAATAACTAAGGAAAGAGCAGGAAAATGTGTTCTCCTTCTCTTGCCTTCTTATTTTCTAGGCATGCAAGCACTGCATAATTAAAGTCTCGCACTCACTTGCACATATGCTTAAGTGCTTCTGCACATTCTCAAAGGAACACACAGTCACAAATCCATAAATATACATGTACAAAA